GAGAGAGAGAGAGAGAGAGAGAGAGAGAGAGAGAGAGAGAGAGAGAGAGAGAGAGAGAGGGAGACCCATGTGACTGTGATGATGGCCTGCAATGGACTTGACTTGCAATATTGAAGGAAAGAACACGTAGTGCATGGATGGGTTAATGGATGGACACGATTCCCGAACATGTAGGACCTCCAAATGGGGCCATAATTATAGTATTGGGGTAAACAAGAATATGTAATACGCGAAAAATGGACACCTACAAACCTTGCGACGGCGCATCCCTGCGAGCCATGAATGGTCTCAAGTCCCTCTTCTGGGATCATGCACTAATGCAGGCTGTGAAGCATGTAACTCCCAAATGGTCTTCCTTAGTGTGCATTGCTGCCACTGCTGTGGCTTTGAAGCAGTGGCAGTTGCTTTGGAAGGTTGCTGCAAAGAGTTTTCTGTGTGGATGTATCATCCATCTGCTGTGCTTCGTACGATTCGCTGCAACCTTTGCTCATATGAGCACTATTCTCTATATATCCCCTATTGGAAAGGATGGAAACAATGCAAACTAAACCCTCCGGTTGCCGTTGTCTCTTTGCCTCCCTGGCTTGAAATGACACCGTAAGTTTGATTACCTTTTATTTGGTTTTCTGTGTGTTTGGTGGCCATCTCTTCTCCTGTTCTGTTTCAACTGTCTCGGCCCTCGTCTCACCTGATGCGCCGATTGTAACATGGAACGTGTTGGCACCGGTTATGGGATTGTGATATGAACTGGTTGGGACTGATCGCTTGCGAACGCTTTGCTGTTCTTGCCCGGCTTGCAGTGAGGGGTCTTGTCTTTGGAATATTATGGGTACTCCTTGGAAAGCGAATATGGTTCTTCCCGAACATTTTGGCGGAAGAAGCTAGCTTCGCAGAACTCTGCCGATTCCTGCCCGATGGAAAGAAGGACGAGGACCCTCCCCCGAAGTGGACGGAGAGAGTTCTAGTTGCATTGCTTGTGTGTGGAGCTGTTTGGCTTTTCGTTCATCACGCTCCTGATGAAAATGCGCGTGCTAAATATAGCAGAAAGGCAAAGGATAAACTTCAGGAGTGGCTAGAGTGGAACCCTTCTTATGGAATGCTCGCTGGCAACAAAACTGAGACTGCGAAGGATGCAGGGGAGGGAGGCAAGGGAGGGGAGGGAGGAGAGGGAGGCAAGGGAGAAGGAGAGAGTGGAGATGTCGACAAAGTAGACCACCCATCGACGGTTGACCGGGAGGGGGTCCTTGACGATTTGCCTTTCGACGATGAAGCGATCATCGATGATGCTCCGTTGGAGCATGACTTGCACCCCGGCGGGGATGGTTTTGGAACGAAGCATGAAAGCGGGGTTACGGAAGATGATGGTGAGATGGATGGCAAGGAGACGAAAGAGGCACGTGCTGCTGGACAATCAAGTGTTGATCAAGTGAGTGATATCAATGGGGACGGTGAACGCCACTCTGGTACAGATGATAGAAGCAACAGTTGATGACCTTTGAGAATCTTCTCAGGTATCTATCGCGAGCAACCATCATCGAATGCGCCCCTGTTGTGGAGTGCACGTCCGATCAGTGACAGCAAGAGAGCAGAGCCCACCAACAATGCCGCAGACGTGACGTGGAGCTTTCCCCTCACCTACCACAGAACGGGACCGGTGACTTGCGCAGTTCATTCGGCACGGCATTGTACTGTCGCTGATTTCAGCTTTGAGCTTTTTCTGTCCTTCACAACGACGTTGCATTCTGGATTTGGATGGCTTGATCAATACGTGGAGATATGTGTGTGTGTGTGTAAAAGCGAGAGAGAGAGAGAGAGAGAGAGAGAGAGAGAGAGAGAGAGAGAGAGAGAGAGAGAGAGAGTTCTGGGAGGGAACTAGTTGATGAGAAAGGGGAGCGAGTCCATCTAGATCTAGAGGATCAATTGTCCAGTGCTGAAGAGACTTGGGCTCGTCTGTACGAACGAAGCAGATCTTCCAACAGTGTGGCGGGAGGGATTGAACACCAGTAAGGTAAGCGGAAGATGTCTTGTGCAAAATGCAGAAAAGCGATCTCGTTATTTGTTGCGGGTGATGTAAGGAGTGCGCAGTGAGATCATCCTGAATGCGAGGCTCAGATCTTGATCACGCATTTTTTCCCCAGGAGGCATGTCCACAAGTCTGGACTCTGGAGCCTTGGAACTGTCTGCAGCATGTCCTGTCGCTCACCCATTGCTACAGTGTGAGGGGGTATTCACACTAGCGCTGTCCTAAATGAATCTGACTGCGTTCACGGCCCGACCTGGATGTATCTGACCGCAATCACGGGCCAGTGAAACAGTCCCAGTGTGGGCATGCCCCGAGGGAAGGTGAAGATTTCTGTTTGCCACTAGCATGAACGAATCTGATGGCGGCATTCACGGCCGGAGCCGGATGTATCTGACTGCAATTACGGGCGAGTAAAAACGTCCTAGTGGGGGTATGCCCTGAGGGAGGGTGAAGATTTGTGTATGCCAAGAGAGACAGATGCGGAGATATCTTACGGGTTCTTTGTGTGGGTGTCCAAGCAGTTAGTGGGAAGCAGGAGGAGCTTCAAAGGGGAAATGCGACCGTGACGTGAAACTCCATCTGAAGATTCTGAAGAGCATGAGACGTGAGACGTGAGGGATGGCGTGAGACACGGTGAGGTTAGGTTAACTGATAGTTAACTGATAATACACAAAAGAACATGTGTAAGGGCCTTGCTGCACAACACACGAAACGAAAAACGAAACGAATGTATCTTCCACAAGAAAATGCCCAGGTTCATCGGTGCGCTATAAATAGTAACGAGTGTATTTTGCCACCTTTGGTGGGCAGATGCACTCGTTTCGTTTCCGTTTCGTGTGCCGTGCGGCGAGACCCTAAGACAATTGTAGTTACTGATCAACGCACTTTTAGGGCATCAGGGGTCGGGGGATTCAGGGCGCCCCCCGCCATGCACGCATGGCCTTGAACCGGCACCCTCAGCCACAGGAACGAAGTCTCGAAACCACTACAACCCAGGATGGAGGTGTTATGAAAACTGGATCCATACCTGCCAACCAATCTTCAACTATCACTTAACCTTCATCTGAACAGCAGCAGCTGAACAGCAGCATCCAACAGCAGCATGTGTTCGTCGGAGCTGGGTGAGGGTAACCAACTGATATAGTGCAGATTGGTTGGCAGTCGTCTTTTTTTTTTTTTTTTTTTTTTTGATTGGGACTTGTCTTATACATGTTCTTTTGTGTATTTTGAGTGCAGCAGCATCGAATGTCTTGCTGTGTATTCTGAGCGTCGCGTGTGTGTTCACTGCACTGCGTTGTACATAGTTGTGGATGTGATGGTATGAAGTGCAATGTGTGCTTAGCAGTCAGTTTTCAGTTGTTTTTGGTCTTTTTTCTTTGTTGTGGATCCACAAGGAAGCACTCAGTTGGCTCGTTATGGCCACTGCCTTGTTGTATGAGACTTTGTAAGAATTATATTATAAGAATGAGGTAGGAAATCACTTGAAGATGGATATGAGGGTGCTTTTGAGAATGGAAGGTAGTGTGGAGTTCTGAATGGCAAAGGCAACTGACAAATTGCCAACAACAAGTTTTTAAATTCTCAGCCAGAAGAAGACTCGACAAAACACATGCGAACACTCTTCGATGTTCACTAATAATGAAAAAAGCAAGTGGTTGCGTCCTGGCGTGGAGATCCATGCTTCTCCCACGCTCGGCCCCCTTGCCCTTCTTGTACTCCACCCTGCTCTCCCCCCTTGCCCCCCTTGTACTCCACCCTGCTCTCACCCTTCCCCCGCCGCCCCTAGCTACCTGCCAGCCCCTTTCCACCTGCCCTCTCCAAGCTTGCCGCGTTCCCTTCCCGCCCAACCCCGCCCCGACCCCCTCTCTCTCCCGCACTCCCTCTCCCTCTCCCTCTCCCTCTCTTAGAGAGTGTCCTTTTGGGATGGCGGGGCTAGTTAATGTTTCAAAGTATGGAAGAGGACCAACGAATGTCCCACAATCATTTCTCAGCCTCCTCAGGACCATGTGACACAGGTGAACAGCCTTTTGAAGTCTCTAATGACACTTCTTATGTCAGCTGTTTCCGCTAAAACAACCACTACCTTTTCACAGGCAAACTCGAAACCTCCTCAGAATGCGGTATAAACCTATACCACATTCTTTGGAGGCCGGGAGCCACCGGACCGAAATGGCTGGAGCCTGGTGGTGCGTAGCCAAAACAAAATAGAAAACGTTGCACTGGTGCTTCGGCAAAGCCCAGCGCACGGTTCTTCCTGTCACGGCAAAAATAGGCTCGTACGTAGGGGTGCTTAAATATAACTCCCCCCCAAATGGTGACTGTGACAGACGTTTGTTCCACGTCCTGACTTGTCGCCGGAAGGTTGAAATTCGACAGTCTGCCTAGGATGCATTTGCTGGAGGGATCACGAAATAGCGCGCTCCCTAATCACCACTACACTGCCCCAACCTTGCAGCGATAAACTTATACCACCAGTACCTGGCCCAGGTATCGGCCGCGGCGCTTCCCGTATACGCGCTGCGCCATTTGGGCTTCAGCCTGCCGGACCGCATTGGCTGGAGGGCGCAGGCAAAACAAAAAAGAAAATTGCGACGGCGGTTCGGCAGGACTTGGCGCGCAGCGTGCTGGGAGGCTCGGATTCAATAGCTGAGCGAGGTACTGGTGATTTATCCCCACCTGAAAACTTCAGAACTTGGAGGAGGCCCGGTAGTGCAATGGGGGAGGTAGTCTGTGGGCCCAATCGAAATAGGTAAATGGACTGTTTGTTTTCCTGGAGGATGTCCATGCATGTGGAAACATGCCTGGAGGATGTCCATGCATGTGGAAACGTGCCTGGAGGATGTCCATGCATGTGGAAACACATGCATGGATCAGACACTGCAGGGGTTTCAAGAAAGGGAAAAAAACGAAAAACGTGAGACACTCTGCCTGGTAAATACCAATTGTATATAAGGCCAGGTGGTGATATGAATCTGATAGCAATGACGTCCAGAGCATAAAAAAACAAAGGGCCACTGTTGAGTGTGCCCTGACTCATGTCAGTGCCCGCCTCGTTGCCGATGCAGGTGCTGAAAGGAATCAATCCTCTAGCCCATGTATATATACAACATGGCACATACCTTTTTGAGCCGAAACAGTGGGGGGCCTACTGGTAGCAGCAGGGAGAAAAAGATGCATTACTTCGCTGTCAACATGTCTTTGCCCTCAATGGTGAAACTCCGACGAAACAGTTTGTCACAGCCCCTCGTTTGTTGTCCTCTTCTCTCTCTCTGCCTACGGTTTTACCGCGCAGTTCTGTTTGTGACGATATATATATATATATATATATATTTGACGATATAGTTCTATTTGTGACGATATATATAAGATCAAATGAAGATCTTAATGAAAAACATTCATTATTCAATAGATTCAAGCATTATTTCTTTTCTATTATTGAGAATGAATGTTCTCTAATTTTCTATTCAATTTTCGATTATTTTTAAATTGTATTATTTGACAATTAAATCCGAATATAATAATATACAATAAGATATGTAATATAAAAAAATATACAATAAGATATGTAATAACAAAAGAATATAGATAGACATATATATGTATATATACATACACACACACACAAGGGTTCAGCCTCCTCATGAGGCAGTGAAACTCCGACAAAACAGTTTGTCACCGCCCGTCGTTTGTTGTCCTCTTCTTTCTCTCTCTCTGCCTACGGTTTACCGGGCAGCTGTCTGACGATATATATACATATATATATACTCCGACGAAACAGTTTGTCACAGCCCCTCGTTTGTTGACCTCTTCTCTCTCTCTGCCTACGGTTTACCGGGCAGTTCTGTTTGTGACGATATATATATATCGTCACAAACAGAACTGCCCGGTAAATCGTAGGCAGAGAGGGAGAAGAGGACAACAAACGAGG